CATCCTTTTCAACTCCAATTCCATGTTCGTAACAATATCCAACCTGGAAAATTCCGTCTGGATCGTTCGTATCTGCTGATTTTTGACAATCTGAAAATTTTAATTTATTAAATAATTGGGTCAAATTTTCGTTTGACATTCTTGATTAAAAAAAAAAAAATGGATTCACGATTTTTACCGTTTTTTTTTATTTATTTATGGTGGTTACGTATACAATTATGCAGTTTTCAGTAAATACTATTTTGGAACCAGGGTTACATACACTATTCTCAACAAATAGTGCGTAATTTGGCAAAATAAAAAAAATATATGCATGCATATTGTGTACATACGTACAAAAAAATTAATACAAGTCACTTTTTTTATTAATATACTCTCATTGTATGAACCTCTTAGAAATTACAATGTGTTAAATTAACCATATCAGGATAAGTTCGTGGCCGTGCCTTGACGCCATAACAGGTTTTAAAGGGTGTTCAACAGCAATAACGAAGTAAAACTTCGTTAAAATTCTTTTTATTCTTTTTCCCTTCTTTTCTGTGTCCAAAATGATTGTATAAAATGGATGTAAGTTTTAAAGAATGTAATCATCGAGGTAATAATCAAAAATTTTAATAAAAGAATAAATTAAATAAGAAAAATACTTGCCTTTTGCCTAACGCTATCGCCTTGACCGTGCCAAATCGAATCCCGCCTCTCCTTAAGTAGTGTTACGTTACGCTGCGTCTTGGATTTTAAAGCGACGCTGTCGCGCTATTTCTCTTTGAGCGGAGGTAACGCTATAGCCTCCGACAATAGATAGAATTAAGATTGGTTATTTTTGAAGCAGGTAGTTTTAAAATTTATTCAGTATATTTAATAAAGGTTTTTTTTTTAAATTGCGAACTGCCAATATAAAAATATTAACATGCGAAATTGCTATTCAATCAGACGTACGAACTTGCACACACTATTATACTTGTTGGCAAAATTCAAAATTATTATAAAATTAGCTTATCCATGCAAAAATCCCAAACTATGGCCAAATTCATATCTCAAAAATTTTATTAATTATCTCATTCAAACAAATATTATATTTAAACCATGCAAAATTAATTCCTTGGTTTTCATAACCCGGCCGAGTCAATTTTTTTGTAGACCTTTGAAAAAAATTTCATATGTAATTTATTATAAAAATCTCCGGGTCACTTATAAAATTTTATTTTATGAAAACCAAAAAAAATACTGACTATAGTTGTGATTTAATATTAAAACGTACATCCGTACTACCGATGATGCATACGTACGACTGAAATCTTTATATATCTGATATTCAGATGCTCAACGTAACATAAAGATTTTCAATTTCTTCATATATGTCAAAAATATCAAATAATCTAACTCAAGAAGAGCTAGCAAAAATTAAATTTTCATCTAACGATGTTAACAAAATAACTAATAATTTTAATCAGTTATATTTAAAAGATTATAAGTCACAGGATTTTTTTGGTGAAATTGTTAAAGAATTGTGTAATATATATAATAAAGAAAAATCTAAAGGTAAAGATTCTGAATCAATTATTGAAATATTGGATCAATTTTTAACAGAAAAGAAGCAAAATCCAAATAATATTATTAATTGGTTCTTGAATGATGAAATAAATCCCACGGTTCAAATTATTCTTGCAAATTGTTATCGTCTTGGTAAATGGGTTGCAAAGGATGAACAAATAGCATTCTTTTATTATCAAAAATCTGCTAATATGGGTGATGCCAAAGGAATGTTTGGAATTGGTTATTGTTATAACGAAGGAATTGGAGTTGAAAAGGATGAATATAAGGCATTTATTTATTATCAAAAATCTGCTGATATGGGTGATGTTAGTGGGACGTTCAATGTTGGTTATTGTTATGATGAAGGAATTGGAGTTGAAAAGGATGAACATAAAGCATTCATTTATTATCAAAAATCTGCTGATATGGGTGATGCTGTTGGAATGAACAATGTTGGTGTCTGTTATGACGAAGGAATTGGAGTTGAGAGGGATGAATGTAAGGCATTCATTTATTTTCAAAAATCTGCTGATATGGGTTATGCTAGTGGGACATTCAATGTTGGCTATTGTTATTTTTATGGAATTGGAGTTGAAAAGGATGAACATAAGGCATTTATTTGTTATAAAAAATCTGCTGATATGGGTGATGCTGATGGAATGTCTGAAGTTGGCAATTGTTATCTTTATGGAATGGGAGTTGAAATGGATGAGTATAAGGCATACATCTATTATCAAAAATCTGCCGAGATGAAAGTCAGAAGTTGCTAATTGCTATCGAAATAGAATTGGGGTAACAGGAGATACAAAAAGCCACTATTGGTATTAAAGGAAATAAATAGGTTTAATTATAACTTTTTGATAAGCATTTACTTAATAAATTTATGTGTTAAATAAACAATTAGAGAAAATTATGACCCAGGTAATTTCAATTGTTAATTTAATTTAAAAGTTATAATATACAAATTTCTGGCTTTGAAGGGGTGCTGAAAAATTAATTCTTCCGATTAAAAAATATCAACAATCAATTAATTGTGGTTAAATAATTGTCACGGGGTTAGGCAATAACCGTAGTCACTGCTATCTAGCTTCAGAGTAGAGTTCAATACGTATTCACTATTTCACTCACTTTTCTTACTTTCACAATTCAAAGCTTTTTCTCTAACTCTTTATTAGAATATTACTTATATATATACATTTAATTATTACATCACTTTATGCCTCGTTACATTTAACCTTCGATCTTTAACTGTCTTATACTTAATGATTAATTTATTGATCATTGTCTTTAATGCTAGCTCGCATTACAATCATAATTCCACCTATCTTTGTACTAAGTACAAAGGTTAACCAGAAACTATGTGATAAAATTGCAATTAATTTCCTCCAATTCCACAAATCCGCCGGCATGTAATTATGGACATAATATTTAGTCACCGGAATTTAATATTAGTCACCTGAATTTGTAACGTTTCACAATTTTTATTATCATTTATTTTCATCTGATCTACAAAAACAATTTCGATCCTTCCAAAAACCATATTGTTGTAAGAATTCACTCAGCGTCAAACCAATATCCCGACGTCAAAACCAATCTTTTATCTTTGTATGCAAAAAGAAACTAAAACGAAAGTTCCGAAAACTTATGTAGCTGTGTATTATTTGTATTATTTCATAAGCAGACTGTGTTTTAGGCCGCTTGCAATTGAATTTTCGGTTAACATCACTTTTAGAACTCTTGGGAGAGAAGGATAAAATGAAACGAACATGTAGAATGAACAATTGGTGAGAATTATCCAGCGTTTTAATTGGTTGTTCATTTCTCGGGGGAACCTTCAGGTGATGTTAACCGAAGAATCAACTTCGAACGGCCTTACTGTTTTTAACGGAGAATCTAATTATACTGTATTAAACGTTAAACGTGCTTATTATGTTCAAATAAAATATTTAAATCTTAAAAGGTTAATAAACAGAAAAACTTTTATATGCCGATTTCTTACGTTTTTATTATATTCTATGTACAAGCAAAATCTATGTGCTAAATCGACACGAAGCTCATTCACTCTAATTAATTATAATATGTCTTGAACAGATCTGATACTTCAACCACTTGAAAGAATTTCTGAATTTAAATAAACAATGGTATTTTTAATTCGACAAGAGCAAAAGCAACGTAACATGGTTTAGAGTGTTTTCACGGGTAAAAGTGACATTTCCAAAAAACGTGACGAAGCTAATGAAACTGCGCATCCAGAAACAAGAATAGATCGTCATAGGCTTAGAAGGCTTAAGGGATCGTTTATGGAACAGTCGATGGACGCAGATCCAAGAATTTCTGAGAAGCGACGATAGCAAAGCCCCCATTTCATATAAGAATTATAATCTATATAAAGGACGTTACAGCATTAGAGGTTGGAAACGACTCTTATATGCGAGGTAGGGGCACATAAGGTTGATCATAATTATCAAACTTCCCAAATCTCCAACTTTACGCCTCTGGCGAGAAGCCCTAAAGAAAAGAATTACCGAATTACCCGTAACAATTGGTGGTGACTACCATTTACCCCGTCACAATGTTTATTTTTACGAGTTTTTTAATACAAAAATCAATGGAACCGATCAAATGATCGCCTAGTTTAATCTCAAACAATCGCCCAAATCTTAGTGAATTCTTTTTTTTCAAGTTGCTTTATTACGTGTAGTTTGTCTAATCTGTCCCAAAGTTACGTTGAATGATTATATTATGATTAACGTCAATTACATGACCTACTCCAGATCAAAAATAAAAATTTTAGGGTGATTCCACAAATCCGCTTATATGATATGCGTACCTGATACTGTATATATATGTTACTCGT